TATTTCCACGAAATCAAAATATACAGACAAGATATACAAGATTTTTCATTCATATAAAGAATCGTATGATATATTTCAGCAATGTATAAGGAAAGTTTGGCAGAAGGAAGAGGAGGAGGAGGAGGACGATGAGGAAGGAATGAAGAAGGATAAGGAGGAGGAGGAGGAGGAATAGAAAAGAGAATAGGAGGAGAGGAAGGGGAGGGAGGAAGAGGGAAAAGTGGACCTGCCTGAAAAGAATAAATGCTTCATCCAAACGCCTTCTGAACCAGCCTCTCGCGGTGTGGGCGCGGGCGTCTTGGTGCGGGCGTACCATTGCCTACGTCACGGGATCAAGTGATAAAAAAATACAATAAATAAAAGGATTATGAACCAGGATTATTCTTCTGTCTTGTATTGTATATTCAGAAGCATGATTAGTGACAGGATTTATATTTCGAGGAAAATTGATAAAAAAAAAATATATAAACACACACAACACACACAACACAACACACACACACACACACACACACACACACACACACACACACACACACACATATAATATATATATATATATATATATATATATATATATATATATATATATATATATGATAAAGTGTGTTCCTTTTACACATGCGCACAAGCACGCGCTCGCACCTCGTCCTTGACTCCGTCCTTGAGCAGGAGCAGAAGCTCGTCCTCGGGGGGAGGGCGACCCCGTTCCACCTGGCGGCCCTCTGCAGCACTCGGAGGGCGCGCCGGTGCTGCCCCCTCACGGCCAGCCACCGAGGCGACTCGTCCATGAACCTAATAGGATAATCCAGAGGAGGTGAAGGAGGAGGAGAGGAGGAGGGAGGTGAGGAGAGGAGAGGAAGGAGGAGGAGAGGAGGAGGAGGGTGGGAGAAGATGGATGATAGAAAGAGAAGCGGCTGGATGATGGAGGATGGATGGGAAGAGAAGGGTTAAGGAAAAGGGAAGACATTGACGAAGGAAGGAGTTCAGGGTCTATCACACCAGGACTTTTCCGTCAACTTTTGTTCAGACAGACAGACAGAGAGAGACTGAAACAGACAGACAGACAGAGAAAGAGATAGATAGTGAGAGATAGACACAGATATCGAAAGTTGTATCACAGAAATCTCATCGAAACTTACCACAGAGTAGGCAAGAAGGCCAGACACAGCAAAGACACGGTCAGCTGAAGCATCCGCCATTCCCGGACGAGGTAAGCGAACCCGCCCCACGCCATGAGACCAAGCGCCCATGGCAGAAACAATACAATGCCGATATGCGTGCGCCACTTGGGATCCGCGACCTCCATGCCTGCGAAAATTGATAACGCTCTAAATGGTTTTGTACTCTCTCTTTCTCTATCTCTCTTCTCTCTCTCTCTCTCTCTCTCTCTCTCTCTCTCTCTCTCCACTCTTCCATCCTCATCGTTATTGCCATCTGTATCTCTGTCCACTGCCTTTCCTATACCTTCTCCCTCCTTCTCTACCTGTTCCTTTTCCCTTGCCTTCTCCCTCCTCCGCCACCCCTCACCTAGTATATATCCCGTCTTCTGTATCGTGGGGTGGACGGCGCCCATGAGAAAGCGCGAGAGCAGGAGAGCCGAGAGGTTGGGGATCCAGCAGGAGCCGATGGCCAGGGCGGAGTAGGCGACGAAACCCACGGCCACTGTCATCTTACGCCCGTACCTGTTAAATGGTAGAATTTTGTTATTTTGGATCCTATCCCTAAGATGAATTATAGGTCTGATACTCTTTTATAGTATAAGACTGCTGACATTAAATTTTCCAATTCTTAGAAGAGAAAGTATGGCTATGCAAAACAGACTAGATATGTGGATATACGAAAATTCACTTTTTAATAATAAAAAATTATCCTTAATGTAGAAAAGGTTTGGTTATAGCTTTTAAACACATGGTCCCCAGTTATGTTTATACTCTAATTATAATTATTGCAATTATCTTATGGATAGGCACAAGAAGGCCTAAGAACTATAAACCTGGACTTGATTTGCAGAATTCCTGTTATGATATAGCATATAAAAACAAGTTTAACCAAAACGCAACTCATCTTTCGCTTTAGGAGGGGGTTATAAATAGGGTTTCAGACCTAAACGCGTTGCAAAAAAAAAAAACGTTAGTCATGTGGTTAGAGGTTAGTAGACAAAACTACGAACCAGTTATTTTTTTATTGCCAGTTAGTTCGCGATATTTTTCATTTATTAGATTTTCCGCCCGTTCTTAACGTTTCTCGGGAGTATTGTGAGAATTATGAATGTCTGTATCTATGGGAATGAGAAATCTTAGACACACACAACCACACACACACATACATATATACACAATCTTACACGCGCACATACAAATAAATACCGAGAAACATACAGTAACACAAAAAGACGAAAGAAAGGAGATAAAAAAAAAAAAAAAAAGCCGAACACATTAACCCCAAACAGCAAAGGACAAGAACCCCCCCCCCCCCCACCACCACCACCACCAGGCCGTTCCCAAACGAGAGCCGCTCACCTGTCGGCCAGAACCCCGTTGAACGGCGCCCCGATCGTGACGCCGAACATGTAGATGCTTTGGTACGTCGAGCGAAGGTACTCCCAACCGCAGGCAAGCTGGAACTACAGTGGATACAAGGGGCCTTAATGTTCTGCGGATTCATATCTACGTTTGTCTCTTTCTCGGTAAATATGAAGTAAATGAATAAGGATTTAAGTAGATGAATGTCTCGTCTGAAATACTCTCTGTATTGTCTGTAAATATGAAGAATACTGTGGTCGTACGTGAATAAGGATTTAAGTAGATGAATGTCTCTATCTATCAACCAGTCTATCTATAAGCATATGTATGTAGTTACAAAAACAAATATAGTAACATGAACAAACAATTGAAACTGAACATTGTCATCATCTATTGAGCATTGTCATCCAATAACTATTGTCATAATATTTTGTATCTACACTGTCATAATATTTTGTATCTATTGAGCACTGTCATAATATTTTGTATCTATTGAGCACTGTCATAATATTTTGTATCTATTGAGCACTGTCATAATATTTTGTATCTATGAGCACTGTCATAAATTTTGTATCCACTGTCATAATATTTTGTATCTATTGGTGTTGTATCTAGTAACGCCAATACCTTTGTCACCGCCAAGTCACAGGCACCAACACCGCTTACCAAACGGTCTGAATCAAAGATTACCTCAGTGCCAACGGTGGAGCTGAAGGTGGAGTTGTCGAAGTCCCACTCGACGCACGGCTCCTCCTCGACCTGGCCTGAGGACGAGTTCAGCACGAAGTAACTGCACTCGGGTCTGGGGAGAGGTGGGGGGGGGAGTTCAGTTAGAGGGGTTTTGTTCGTCTCTGATGAGTGACACGGTGTGAGGAGACTGATGCTGATGACTCTATCCGTCTATCTCTCTCTCTCTCTCTCTCTCTCTCACTCTCACTCTCTCTCTGTCTCTGTCTCTCTCTCTCTCTCTCTCTCTCTCTCTCTCTCTCTCTATATATATATATATAATATATATATATATATATATATATATATATATATATATACGCACACACACACACACACACATATATTTACGTCCTTGATCCCTAGCCCACTCACCCAAGCTCCAACCCACCCGATCCCTGACCTATTCCCAACAACCCACCCACCTATCCCATCCCTAACCCCCCTCCTAACCACCACCCCCTCCCATGGGATTATGGAGGGGGGGGTTAGGAGGTGGGTTAGGGATGGTCATGTCAGACACAGCCGTGCCTCTTACTTAGCCTCTTCGGAGGTGTTGTCGCCGGCGGGAATGAACAGCGGTGAGGCGCTTCGGGCGGCAGCTGCGTCGTGGGCGCCCTCGGGCCGGCAGGTGTAGTCCACTCGGGGGCGAGGAAGGCGCCGCCCAGGGTGTGGTACGTGGTCAGAGAGAAGCCTCGGGGGGGGGGGGTAGATGCTGTCAT